TGATACTCTAATAATGGGAAACAAGACGACCATACTTATCGCTCACCGGGCGGCGATGATGAGACATGTTGACAATGTCGTAGTCCTCAATGGAGGGCGGATCGTTGAAGAAGGGACCCATGACTCGCTAATGGCTAAAAATGGTTTGTATGTCCGCTTAATGCAACCTCACTTTGGTAAAGGGCTGCGCCATCAACATAGACTCATATAAAGCACAGGATTGTAAGTAAGTGGATGCTCTAGTGAGTCTCAAAAGCTTTAAGCCTTAATTTGGCATGAGAAAACTGCAGAAGAAATGCAAAAGAGGGAAATATGGCCGGTCCTACTATCTTTTCATTTCTTCTCCCTTGTGGAGAGAAATAGTAGCCAAATGAATACTCGCCCCATTTCTTCTCCCTTCCTCTAAAACGAAACATGTCATAAAATTTACCACATCACCCATTCCTGTCTTCTGTATTTCTTCCCTAAACGTAACAAAGGCTAGATGGTCTCTTCGGAATGGGTGTATATAAAAAAACAACAAAGCTCTCTAGCCCCAGCTGCCAAAGTCCTGAAATGGTGATTTGAAAGGTGTGCAAAATGTGGTTGAGAAAAGGCTTTTGTAGTTAGTGTGTGCTCAGTTAAAGTAGAACTAAAGGATTAGGGGTGTATGATTCTTTTGGAGACGGGACGAGTTGAGTCTGCATAGTAGGATAAATTCCATCCCTGTCTCTTTAATGGGTATGTTTATTGGTTGGTTACAGAACGGATCTAGTTTCTCTTTTGTGCCCTTTTCATCTTCAGGTGTGTTTTTATTTGTGTGATGTTTGTAGTCAGTTTTGGTTTTGCAATTTTTCTTACACGGGAGGGAGTACAAAGCTGGACATAGTAGAAGTAGAAAGTAACTAAATGTAATCCGTTTATTTTAAATAGTAATGTGGTTTGACCTAATTTGCTTAATTTTATTGTGAAATATATTTTTAATTGTCTCATTGTTATAATGTTTTTAAATGTATTGATGTTTTTTAGTCTAGTCTGAAATGCTTTGAACTAATCTGGTAGATGTATAATTTGTTAAACTGTGGTTTGATATGATCTGTTTAAGTTTGGTTTGAGATAAAAATCGATTCAATTAAAAACATCCTTAGTGCAAGTATGGATGGACTCGGTTCGGGCCGGGCCCGGGCCTCCGGTCCTGGATTGGAGGGCCCGGAACCGGCCCGTGTAACCCCCCGGGTCCGGGCTGGGCCAGGCCGGGTCTCGGGTATTTTTTTTTCCCTTTTCCTAATTAACCCCCAACCCCCTCCCCCTCACACCCAAACCACCTCAAATGGCCCAAAATACCTAGCCCAATCCAAAAACTTTAAAAAAAATTCAAAAAAAAAAATTAAAATGGCCCGGACCGGGCCCGAACCGGCCGGGCTGGTTCACGTTTTGAGGGGCCTGGACCGGAATCACCTCGGGTCGGGCCTACCCGGACCGGTCCCTGACCGGGCCACTGGGCCGGGCCGGAACAGTGGCGGGCTAGGCCGGTTCCGGGTCGGGCCACCCGGCCCGAGTCCACCCATAAGTGCATGGTAGAGAGGCTTTATATAACTATATTCACAATTCCATTTGAGATACATTTTTCACCCCATGTGTGACCTTTCAGGTGGACTCGGGTCAGTTTGGTCCCAAATACTATATGAAGAGGATTGACTCAAACTGCCATATTCTGGGTCTGGGGCGGTTCCGGGTACCCAGGTGGTCCTGATCCCAGATTCATTATATTTATTTAACCCATTTGAAGCTAAAAACAAATTGACTGGTTTGGGACTGGAACTGTCCAATTTGGTCCCATATATTGGAATCCGGGACTGGACTATCTAGTACTTTCGGGTACTCGGTCCTTCACTGGGACTGGTTTTTTGTACCCAATCGGTTAGGGCCTGTTTACTACATAAATATTCAGGGAGGATTTCAAAATACGATACATCATTCGTTCTTTAATTAAGCGAAACGGTTAGGGCCTGTTTACTACATAAATATTTTCCAGCTTTCTGTTTCTGTTTTTTTTTGTTCTCCAATTTTTTGTTTTCATTTTCGATTTTGTCTTGGTCCAATTTTTTGTTTTCATTTTTTAGTTTTCGAGTTTCAAATTTGAAAACATGTTCATACATTTTTTCACCTGGTTCTCTGACCGACCAAAAGATTGAAAGTGCAATCTCAGTCCGGAACCAAACCTAGTACAACCCAAGTGGGGTACTGGGTCCCACTCCCACATATAGGAAAATCGCGATCGAAACTGGCTGGTCCCGATGGTTTTCCTATTAGTTTGGTGAATTCTTTTCCCATTTTCCTATTAGTTGACAACTCAATGGCTCTTTCAATACTCTTCACTTTAAAAAATGATTTCGAAAATATCGAGACGGAACTATCGGGTGTCTGGTCATTTACGGGACTGGCCCGGGACCGCCCGGTTGTCGATCGGACCAAACACAGACCGTCAGATCATTTGCTAGACAGGATGGGGACTATCAGGTCATTGATCATATAGGACGGGGACCACCAGGTAGTTGACCGGACAGGACGGGGACAACCGAGTCATTGACCGGAGCGAATGGGGACCACCGAGTAGTTGACTAGACCGGATCCGACCTTGACTGCTCGACAGTCGATAAAACCGAACAACTACTGTTTGGTCGTGGATCGGACATGACAGGGATCGTCGTGTCATCGACCGGACCGAACAGGGGACTTTTGGGTCGTGCACCGGACCGAACATGCACCACCGAGTCATGGACCGGACCGGACAAGGACCACCGGGTCGTGGACTGGACAGGGATCGTCGAGTCGCGGATCGGACCGGACAGGGACCACCGGTTCGTCGATCGGACTAGGACCACCAAGCCGTCGACCGGACTGGGACCGTCAGGTCATCGATCAGAGTGGATCGAGATTGTGCAGCCGTCGACCAGACCAGACATGAACTGTCGGGTCAATGACCGGATTGGACCCTAGGGTTGTTGACCGGACCAGATACGGACTGTCGGGTCGTTGACCGGATCAGACTAGAACTGACACCGAGCGGGACCGGATCCAACACTAGGCGTAAGTATGCAAGTTCATTGCAGCGGCACTGCAGCATCTGCGTTTTCTAAATTTGGAAAACTGGTAAAAGTCACTTCTCCAATTTATTAAGGAAAACATAAATATATATCATTTTTTTGTTTTGGAAAACGATTTGGTAAACACAACTTTTTGTTTTCCTTTCTCCAGTTTTCCAGAATTTGTTTTCATAAACACCGTTTTCTGTTTTTCAGTTTTGCAGTTTTCTGAAAAACTGGAAAATATCTCCGTTAGTAAATAGATTCTTAACCTTTCACATTTGGCAGTGTACAACTTTAATCGTCAATATATATGATTCCTTATTAGTAAATAAATAATAAATAAAACATATTTCCAGAATTTCCAAAAAGAGTTGCTATTACATTAAGAATGATGATTAAGAATGAAGGTACTAGAGAACAAAGTCAAAGACTATGAGATGGAGCGCAGTATGGCCGGAGTACATGCCATGCATGCCATCCACCTCAGCTCAGCTGCGTGCCTCCAATGATTCCATAGATATCTATCTATCTCTCTGAATTACTTATCCCACAAGAAACGTGCCGCACTTGCATGTTACTCTCCCTATCATCTAATTTGTACGTTCTAAAATATGCGTACGCTCTTTCACACCTACTTCATTTCGGGAGAAAATTAATTATTACAAGGTAGATTCTATGGTATCGAAAAAGTACCATACCTTTGTTCACTTGGATCAATTAGAATGTTACAGTTGAATTATTTAAATCTAAATTATAAATGATTTAATGATTTAGACCAATCATGTGAGTGGTAGATACGATACCCCATTTTTTAAATAAGTATCGGAGTTGTCACCTTATTACCATCCTGCCTTTCCTTCTCTCTACTCGTCTAATTTAATTTCTCCGCTTCATCTCTCGTTTTCTTTTTTCTTCTTCAAATTATTACGAAGAATAATGTCTTCATATTTTTCAATATATGATCTTTTTTAATCTATTAAAACATTCTCTATTGTCTGCGACTCAGATTTCCGCATTCAGTCTTTAATTAATCAGAAATATTCAAAATGAACAAAACAATTTCTAAGTATATCGATCGGTGTCTATGGCATGTTCATATATACCAAAAAAATTGAGATTTTTTACGAATAATACTAAAATAAAACTTATTTACATAAATATGACTATTCATTACTACCATGTAGTGTTGTAGTAGCTTAAGTTCAAAACTTGAACATGAATTACTATGATTTCATTACTACTCTAGTAACTAGTCATATTTTTGTAAATCATTTTTATGTAATTATTTCAAAAAATTGCAACTACACGCTAGCTTTTTCACACATGAATTATAGTATTAACATACGGAGTATTATACATTTACACATCAATTATATATGTACATATAACTCCAATCCTATTTAATTAATTAATAGTTTAATACAACGCACCAATTACAATTACCATGTAGAATGTCATTTTTTACACAAACCATTCTGAATCCAACAACCTTTATTCTTTATAAACATTTATACAACAATTACACATTACTGACATGCTTTTAAAACTCTTAACCTCATTTATAATTTATACCGAGTATAAATTATTTGTAGTAACATACCACAATAATATATGGTGAAAATTAATGGCGTATTACGTATCGCAGTACTCCGCAAGTGTTACATTTTTTTTATAAAGTATTTGCACCTAACATAACATATACTAGTATATATATTTTCACCAAATATATTTATTCCATGTAGCGTGCGCGGACTGAACTTTTTTAGCTCAAAGAAACGACACAAAAGCATACATACAGACTACTATTCAATAAGCAAATTAATAATTTAGTCAAAACTTGATTCCCACCTAATCATAGTCTATCCCATTCCCATGCTTCCCTACCATATATAGCTCCCTAACTACTACATACCATCCTCATTACTCCGTATATATTCATCCATTAAAATTCCTTCAATTCAATTTTTATTAAATTCTTTCAACCCAAACAAAACCTAAACTACCCCCTAGCTATACATATCATTCATGATGGAACCGTATATGGCTACTCATAAACTAACAAACAGATCAAAAACTGAAGAATTTGATCGTAGCGTCGGAAACGGCCCCATCTTCCTCCCCGGCCGTGTTTTCGAGTGCAAGACGTGTAACCGGCGGTTCCCCTCGTTCCAAGCGCTCGGTGGCCACCGGGCGAGCCACAAGCGTTTTCGGACGGAGACGGCGGCAGGAAGCGATGGGACGATCCTATTTATGCCGCCGTCTTCATCTGCCCCGGAACAACCCAATAAGACCCACGAGTGCTCCATATGTGGTTTAGAGTTTTCCATCGGACAGGCTCTAGGAGGGCACATGAGAAGGCACAGAGCAGCGGTCGTTGCGGCCAACGAAACCCTCCGTTGTGGCGGCGGCAGCGGTGGTAGTTCTCTTCATCTTTCTTTTCCGGCCGGCAACGCTGCCCTCGTCAAGAAGCCGTCCATTGGACAAAGGGTTTTGTGCTTGGATTTGAATTTGACGCCATTGGAAAATCACCAGCAGTTCATCATCAAGTATGGGAAGGTGGTTTGATTAAATTAATTTGATGATTACTTAATTGTTTCTTGTGTTAATTTTAATAATGAATATACCGAGTAGGAATGTACATGTATACACGGATATACGTATTAACTACACCCTTTGTTATTAATTTATTTATTAACTACACCGTTCGTTGTTGTTAATTTAAATTGTGATCTATTGAACTAGATCGAGTAAATTGTGTGGATGGACATCTTTGAGGGAACATTAATATTAGTCCTTTGAGGTTAGATAAGAATAATATATCCAATGATTTATTCTCACTATTTACCGCTCCAACTAATATTAATCAAATTTAATTAACCGTTTTCTAAAAGATTCTTCATACAAAGTATGCTATTATTAAGATTTATAAGAGTCAAGATAATTCATTTTCGTGGTTCCAATCATATTTGTTTCTCGGTATTTCTTCTTTTCCAGTTGTGTAAGAAATTCCATCAATATTAAATGAGCTGGATAAATTATAAATAAATTAAATTTTAGTCACGATGAATCAGAGTTTAGATTTTTTTTTTGGGAAAAAGAGTTTAGAATTTTTAGAATACATATTTTAAATGACCTTCTACTAAAAAAAAAAAATTAAATGACCTTCTATGACTGTCTTGTCTCGACTACTCTAATTAGTATTGTTCCACGGGTAGCTAAGTAGAAGAACAAACGATCAACAACTACGGATGTTTAATTTGCAATTGGGCTGATTTTGTCCTAGACTAGGATAGTAGGATACACCTGAACAGATGTGTCATAAACGAATGAGATCACACTAGTTTATACCACATAAGACTTCAACTGTTGTAAAATACAACAAAAATGATCTTTGTACTCACTCTTATACCTACTTTTGTACCCACCTATATTTGTGAAGTGTTTTCTTTGTCTGTGAACCCCGGTTCACAGACTAAAAAACATTCACAAACATGGCGGGTATAAGGTGAGTATAAGAGTGTGTACATCAAGCATTGTTGACAATACAAATAAAACATACATTTATTAGATCAGTTCATACGATACCAGAAAATTAAAATCGAATTTGAAATATCCCATGACTTATAATTATATGTAATGATAATTCACTTTTACTTTTGAAAGTGAATATTGTATACAATTTTCAGTGAAATTGAGAGTTATATGAAATTTAATTTCATAAGTATTAAAGTGAGAGAAAATAATAAAATTGAAGGAATAATAAATAATTGATTCCTTAAAATAGAAAGTGGCATCTTTATATATAATGAGAATATGATTGGAATCCAAAAAGAAATTTATTTGGAGCCAGAAGAAGTAATTTTTTGTACGTTGTCCAAATTAATGAACCATTACTTAATTACTCTGTAATTAATGAAAACCAATGATTATTTGCAAATGTAACTAATTTTTGTAAGATATAGGTAAATATTAGAAAATTGAGAATAAGGGCAGTAAATATAAATAAATCAATTACAAAAATACTGAAAATTTAAAAATGTAGAATTAATTAATAGACGTAATAACATATATAAAGTTAGAAAAATGAAACTTTTATTTCAATTTAAAAGGTAAAAAATATAGAGTTTTCCGGTCATATTTTAAAAGTATTTATAAAAAAAACATATTAGAGGTATCGTTTTCCTTAAAACACGTTTGTACAAACTTTCAATAGGCTAATTATTAAGAATATTTTTTTGTGCGCGCAAGTAATATATACATTCTTCATTTTCTGGAAAAACATTAACTCCTTGATTTCTACTTAATTATACTTATCCTTTTAGTGGTAGTCCTTAAAGTACATGTCATGGTATGAAAAAAACATGTCATGGTATGAATTAATGAAGCGAGAGATTTTGGATCAAATAAAAACAAGTCTAAATGAGTAAAATGAGAATGATTTTCGTGCTTTAATAAATTTGACATATGATGTTTCTAAAAGTGCAAAAAATGTAGAAGATCAGCTTTAAAGAACAGTGACATTTTCGTAAATAAGTGATCTTTTGCCAGTATGAAAAATGTAGTAGTGAACCTAAAAGTGTAGTGTACATAAGTAAAAGAAATTTTTTTGGCTCTTTTCATGTTAAACACACCCTTTTTATTTGAACTGCACTCTACGAATAGTAAATATTTTCACACCCCGGTGAGACATACTCATAAATTATAAACCATAATGAAAAAAATAGTAAAAGTAATGCATAGAATAATCATTTTAATTGACATCATAATTATCACTAAATAATACGGAGTACTACGTACTTTGTATAAAATTATAAAAAGAAAAGTCGTGTATGAAAAAAAATTATAATCACCCTTCTAGAAACCTTCTTGAAGGTTCATAGCCATGCTAACGGGTTTTTGTCATCTTCATTAGAAAAGAAAAGCCGTGTATTGATTAATGTTTATTGGTGATTGCATATTACCTCCGTCTCAAAATAAAGTCCTTGTTCACTTTTCATTAGATCAACTTAAATTTTTCTTAATATTTTGTTTTATACTCCGTATATCCAACTTTTATCAAATTACATTTTTCTCCCGATTTTACAAAACTTCTAATATAGTTTCTGAATATGTAAATTTTATTTACTAAAAGTAATCTTATCATGAGAAAAGGGGCAAATAAGCCCACGTACTAACAAAAAAAGGTCAAATAAACCCTCATTTAGGAGATTCTGTCCGGCCGTCGCTATTTGGGGCGGTTCCCGGTGGAATATTTTGATGAAATATTTTGAGAATATTATTCATTAAGTCTAGTTTACTCATACCAAATTTCAGCTAAAACTTCATTCAGGAAGGCATTCAAATGACTTCTTGAAGATAACTATGCAGTTAAAAGCGCAGTTATCTTCAAGAATTCATTTGAATGCCTTCCCGATTGAATTGTTAGCTAAAATTTGGTATGAGTAAACTAGACTTAATGAATAAGATGCTCAAAAAATTTCATCAAAAAAATACTCCTACTCCATTTCCAAACTTCCAAATCCTTCGGGTAGGAAACTGCAAGCTTGGAATTGGATTCCACCTTTTTAAATATCTATGCTGATAAAGTTTCCAATTTTTATTTTTGAAAATAATTAGCACTCTTAAAGACAGCTTAACCATGAAATAGTAAACAAATATCTACAACATCACAATTATCATTAGTGACCTCACTATTCTTTTAGGGAAAAAATAATTAAAATACTTAGAACTAGCTTTGAAGTGGTGTGAGATAAACACCCCAAAGTTGCATATGTAATTTAAATACTCCAGACTTTATATAAAAATTATTTTAACACCGTAGTCAAGTATTATTTCTTTCAAAAATGTAAATTATGTTGTTAATCATATCACATACTCTAAAATATTTTAGCATTCATGAAGACACAATTAACATTCTTATATTTCATTGTGAAATAAATAATATTACCCTCAATCTATATAATTGCAACTAGGGGTGGGTTCGGTTCTTGCGGTTCGGTTTTGACCTAAAACCAAATATAGAACCAAAGTAAAAAGTTCGATTCGGTTTCGGTTCGGTTTCACACTCCAAAACTTGGAACCACGGTTTGATTGGTTCGGTTTTGGTTTTTTCAGTTCTTTACCAAAAAATTATCATTTGATTTAAAATAGATATAATACTTTGAGGGATCAAACATATTACATAAAGAATGCAAGGATACTACAACAAATAAAATAAAAATGAAAATAAATAAATATGTCTTGAATTATATGAGTATGCGAGAGAGATAAAAGTATATATATTATTAATTTACATTGTTTGTGGCTAGTTCAAAAAAAGTTCATGAGTATATACGTCCGATGTGATAAAGTTGAGATGAGTATTTTTTTTATCAATATGAATTCTTTAAGTTAAATAAAAATAAAAGTTAATTAATACTAATAACTAGTAAAAACATATTATCATCATTCAGTATAGATATATTATTACAGGCAATGAATGTGTAAATGAATTTATAAACTAAACTAAACATAACACAAATATTATTTCTCTAGCACAAGAAAACCAAAGACTATTAATGATATTAGGATTAGTTAGGATTAATGCTTAACAATTGACAAATAAATTTTATATTTTAATTAGTTCGTTTGTTCGGTTCGGTTCGGTTTTGAAGGGTAAAAACCAAAACCGAACCAAACAACTACGGTTCGGTTCGGTTTTTTACATTCGGTTTCGGTTTGTTAGCGGTTCGGTTTTATTTGGCTACGGTTCGGTATAATTTGATTCGGTTTTCGGTTTTTCGGACCCATCCCTGGCCTAATTGCGACACTTTTAATTTGTTATTTTAAATTATGCAATTAGCAACATACATTTGCATTTTTTAAAGAAATAATACATGACCATAATGCTTAAATAAGTTTTTATATAAATCCGAGGTATTTAAATTACATATGCAAGTTTGGGGTGTTTGCATCACACTCTTTAGAAGTTTGGGGTATTTTAGTTTTTCCTCCTTTTTTTATTGATCAAAACAACTAACCTCTCAAAATATACTCGGATAACCTTTTTTAAATATTATGTAAATAATTATGCCATTTTTTTAATGTAAATCTTAAGCTGAAACAGAGGTAGTATCTCTAACGATTACCATATTGTACTTCTAATACAATTTTTATAATGTTTTTATTTTTACACAAGAAATATGTATGTTTCCATCATTTTCAATGAAGCCAGAGACTCACTTTTTTGGGCTTGAGAATATGATGGAATAAAGCAAAATGACTCACTAAACTGTCTGCGCTTTTTTGTTATGGAGTAACAATCAATCTATGCATTTTTCGACGCGATTTTCACTATGGGTCATTCAGAAACAGTCTCTATGTACTTTAGTACAAGGGTAAGACTGTGTACATCCGACGCCCCCTTACCCCACCGTAGGTGAGAGCCTTTGCGGCATTGGGGTAATAATGATGATGATATATGTTCACATTATTTGGTAACGCTGAAAATGTGTCCATTCATATGGCATTTGTGAAATACTTAATTAAGGAATTGGTCAAATCTCTTGAATTATGCAAAGTTAAAATATTATTTTTAACAAAAATAAAAAAACATTATATGAAAATAGCTAAAGTAATCTCGTAAATTCTTTCAAATCAATCACAACAGTAATTTCAACTGTTAAGTTCATTCGTCATCCATGCAACGCATGAGTCAATTGACTAATTACTTCCCACAGAAATAATTAAAACATCAGTTATGACTTATGAGTTAGTCCATATATAAGTCAAAGGCTCACTATTTTTTGGCTTGGGATTATAATGGAATAAAGC